TTTGAAATTATGCAAGATTGAACCAAGAAACATGTTTACATACATATGTAATTTGTTGGTCTCCTCATGCTTTCTGATTTATTAATCTTTTTCTCTAATTTTTGACAGTGCTGTTTACTTTTTCCTTGCACCAAACAACAAAGTTAAGGCAAGGCAAAATAAATAATAATCGAACAACGGGGATTGAAAATACTAAACTAAATTGAAGGGATGAACAAATGAATATGGAAATTAACCCATTTTATGTCAAAACAAATAAGTGAATATCAGAGATTGAACATACAAGATTAAATTGAACAGAAAAAGAAATGAATTGAAAAATCAAACCTGTCTAACTTCAATCAGATATGGTTTCTCACGAATAACAGAGAAAGAATTCTTGTACAGAGAAGAAGACTTACATGTTGTTTTTATATATGAACCCTATAAGAAAAATGATCAGATTAGAAGCCAATTTTGATTGAACAAGTTATTGAAGGAAGAGGGCAAGCGAGGAGAAAGGCCATCTCGTGCAGGTTTATCGGATCGGTGAATGGATTGAGATCGCGAGATCTACGCTTTAATACTAAATTTACCGATGTGCCCATCTCACGTCCTGGAAGGCATAGTAATCGAGCAGTAGATCCAACGGTTGAGATAAATTCTTATTTCTTTCATTAGATCATATTCTTATTTGAACCAAAATCTATATATATATATATATATATATATATATATATATATATATATATATATACTACGGGGTATATTGATGGATTAGAGATTTTACCTAATCCAATATTATTTGAATTACAAGTAAGCCCAATTCAGTCTGGCCCAAGACACAAATGAGATAAATTATTCAAGACCGAGACAGAGATATAAGACGAACAAGATAATTTGATGAGATGTAAGAATATTAATAAGGGCCCAAGACATATATTTGGGGGTCCCAAGCATATTATCTTGTCTCCCACTACTTTACCCCTTCCCCCTATTGTAAAAAGAAGTTACGAAGCGGAAGACAGAGGAGGCCAAGGGCAAATTCCTACAACTCCTTACTAATATTATTCTTTTTCTTTACGTTTGGAGCTCCATTAATGGCTCCAAGCTCTTACAATGATGTATATGTAAATTCCTCCGAGATTAATAAAAGTTCCTTCCCTTGGCATGACACCGTCTAAAAAAGCCTGTGGTTTTCTTCCGATTTGGTTTTCACGTATAAATACTTTCTCTCTGCTTTATTTATTTATTTATTTTCTGGATTTTGCTATTTGGTACAGTGTCGACCCAATACCAAGTTCGTCGGGTCGATACCCGGAAAAGTGGTTTCCATCAAAAAATATTTGAGTTGAGAAATAAAAAAAAGTGAAAGAGAGAAAGTAAAAAAAAAACAAAGGCGGGACAGAGAAGGAAGGTACGAAGTGAGAAACAAGAATTAAAAAAGTAGAAAAGTCAAAAAAGGAGAAAAGAAAAGGGAAGAGGGCATGGACAACCTTCGGCGAGCCACGGACACCAGCGGTGACCCTCCGACGAGCTCCCACTTCCTCCGGCGAGCCACGGACAGCAGCATCGGCCCTCCGACGAGCTCCCACTTTCTCCGGCAAGCCACTGGCGAGCCTCTCTTCCTTGAGGCAAGTCGATCCAGCACCCTAGCGAGCCGCTCCCGGTCCTCACCGGCAAGCCACTCCTTGCATTGGTCCACCACCAGCGAGCCACTCCTTCCGTCGGTCCACTAGTGGCTAGCCACTCCTTCCGTCGTTCCACCACCGACGAGCGACTCCTTCTATCGGTCCACCGCCAGATCGAGCAAGTCTCCCAAACAAGCCACTACAGCAGCGGTCCTCTCCGACGGTCCTCAGCAGTGGTCCTCTCCGGCGGTCCTCAGCAGCGGTCCTCTCCGTGCGCAGTCTTCTCCGACGGTCCTATCTGCGGTCCCCTCCGCGGTCATCTCCGGTGGTCCTCTCCGCAATCCTCTCCAACGGTCCTCTCCGCGGACCTTTCTAGCAGTCCTCTCCCGCGGTCCTCTTCAGCGAGCCAGTGACGGATCTCGCCTCAAGTGGGCCGTTCTGACTTCTGGTCCAGTGGATGGATCTAGCCTCAAGAGGACCGCTCCAGTTTCTTAGGTCTCTCAAGTGGATGGATCTAGCCTCAAGAGGACCGCTCCAGTTTCTTATTAGGTCCCTCAAGTGGACGAATCTAGCCTCAAGTGGACCGTTCCAACTTCATGGGTTCTTCAAATGAACGGATCTAGCCTCAAGTGGTCCGTTCTGAGTTGTACAAGTTGAAAAGTAATACTGTAAAAGAATAGAAAGCAGAGGTCCAGTAATTCGGTCAAGTTAGGTGATCGAATTACTGGAGATAGTCATAGACTCCCGCACCAAGATAAAGAGAAGAGTTAGAGAGAGAGGTGGGCGGGGATTGTCTATTATTCAATAAGAGCGGAGCGCCCAACCACCGTGAGATAGTTTTTTTTCCTAAACAACTACAGAGCATTATTTATGCAAATTTTATATTTGAAAGTATGTTTTGAAATAATTGAAAATGTCCCGAGAATTCCCCTTATTTGGAAGTATTTTTCATTAAAAGCATAAAGAGAATACTAAGAGTACCCCAAGTGGTAAACCGCATTTGTATACCAAAACATTCCGTCACAAACACAGAATCACAAATATTCAATGTCTGTACAAAAATAGTATCCTTCTACTAATTTTATCAAATACAAAAACACAGAATTGAAATCTTCAAATAAATATTTTCCCTTCCAAGCAAAAAGACTCATATTGTTGGGATTCCTCCAAGTCCCACAGCAGAAACTTAGGAGTTAATGAACCAAAATATATAGGTTCATCAACTCCATTAATATGAGGCACTTTGGAAAGTGCCCATAAACAAATCCGCGAGAACTTGGTCCGAAACGGACAATATCATTATAATGCGCGATTTCAACACATAGTTACAACTATATTTTTAAAATTCATTTCTTTAAATAAATTTCAGATATATAACTTGTCTGGCAATTTTTTTTCCTTAAACTATTTGATATTATGAAAATCAAAATCTTTTCTGCAAAATAAGAGAAAAATATGTTGGAGACGTAAGACACATGTTACGGGATGGAGACTCTTTTTAGTTTGTATGGGATGGAGTAGGATGCATTTCAGGAAATTTCCTAGGCATGTCCTCGTAAAGAGCTGAGCAGAGAAAGTGCAAACCTAGAAGAAGCAATGATATTTCTCCCGTCCCGGTGTATTTTTGTAGTTTGACTCTTTTTAGTCAAACTGCATAAATTTTAAACTCCAATAAAAACAAAAATTGTAAAGTACTTCGTATTAATATAAAAATAATTTTAATATATTTATTGTTAAAAAACTTTTAGAATTTTATTTTATTGTACTACTCTATAATATGCAATATAAATTAAGAGTAATTGAAACCGAGTTTTTTCAATTTGACTAAAAAAGGTCAAACTGGACAAATATATTGGGATCTAACGTACCATCCATTCTTTAAACAAAATAAGACAACAATATCTGAGAGATGTGGGGAAAACATGTCTCAACCATGCCATGCAACAAAGTCATCCTTCACTATATGCTCCCAATCAGATGAGGAAGTATTGTGCAAAGCTGAAGCTGCCCTGTTATGCATATTTGTTTGTTGGGCCGCATCAATTGGGGCTGAGAAGTGAAATGCTTTTGTGGATTCTTTTCCAGCTGCAGCAATGGAGCCGATTTCATGGGCCATCCCAGTGGGGTGATGCAGGAAAGGAGGCACCATGCCTCCTGCTGCATTGCCAATCTTTTCTTCTGACATGTTTAAATGCATTGGCTCGAACTGCTCCTCTCCTAGGTAAGAATCCCGACCTCTCAGAATGTTCAACCTCGCCATGACAGAGCTGTCAGCATCGCAATTGCTTGTAGAAGCTTGTAGGCTTGGAATATTTTCAACGGTGGCCGCGTGCTCTAAAATACATGGGAAAAAAAAGAAGAAAATATTAGGGACCAAGATAGGATATACACTAATCATGTTGTACAAGCCACAATCATAGTTATGAAAGGCGAGCGCCATGGTCGCCTTTGGCATTGTGGCGACCTTCTAGCGCCTGATTTTGGTCGAGCGAGGCGATGTGCTTGAGGCGCACCATGGCAGTCGCAATTTTTGACGAAAGCTATGGGGCAAGGCGATCGCAACTCATGCCTTTCTGATCGCTGCAAACTTTTTTATTATTTTTTCCACCCGTTCCTTCAGATTGTATTGTTATTGATTAGCTGCTCCCTTTGCCAGCTTCTAATCGCAACTTGCAATTGTTATCGCAAGTTGTGGACGAATATATATTGCCTCTTTTGATCGCCATTTAACCGCCCGTCACATGCCACGCCTCTCGCCATAGAAAAGGTGCTCTCGCCCGCCACTCGCCATTCATAACTATGACCACAATGTTTTTTTTAATGAAGTTTTGCATCCTCATCTTGCCTATATGGGGCCTCCTATTACTCCGTTCGCCTGCAAAGCCAGTACGAATCACATCTGAACCTCGTTCCTTGTCCACATACATTGGGGAGGAATTTTCCTCCCTATATTTCAAAATATTGTATCTGCTGGTGACAGAACCCTTGCGGCCAAGAATGTCATTGGCAGAGTGAGAAATAGATTGACTCTGGATGCAAGGTTTATGCAACGAGCATTCATCAGCATCAATACTAGACACGCCAATGAAGCCTGAATTTTTTTCTGCAGAAGCTACATTTTCTGAAACATAAAGAAAAACAGACACCGCATTGATGAGATACAAAAACTCAATACGGAGACTAATAAGCAGCCTTACCATCTACAGCCCTTGAGGGCTTTTGCATATGCATAGCAATCTTCATATGATCAAATCTAGCCTTGTAACTTAGGGAACACAGTTTTGCTTCCGCCTCAAGCCAAAGGTTCTTAAAGAGTAGAGCTTGTGATTCCATTTCTCCATCAAATTCAAAGTTCTCTTGTAAGACTTTCCCGATAGCCTGCAAGCCAGGTTCCGATCAACTACACCTCTTACAAATTGATGAGAATCAATTTTCTTTTCTATCCAAAAACTGATCAAACAGTTCATAGAAGATAGAACTGTGTGGATTACATCATACATACCTGAGACATAATATCCTCTTTGGGAATGATAGGGTTACTAATTGAAAGAAAAGGTTTCAGATCCTCATTTGTCACATCACAACCATGCATATTCTGAATAGTAGGCTGAACATGTAAGCAGCTAGCAGATCTAATTTTTATCTGAGGTAGGGTCAAACCAGTATCCTGGAAAAAAGAGAGAGATATTATTATCACATTTTTTAAATGAACACACAAAACCGAAGAAATAAGATATGCAAGTGCTGTGTACAAAGTAAAAAGAACTCAGAATATCAACAAATTTAAACAATATTCTTGTCTTTTCAGAACCAAACGTGGGGTGAAGTCCTACCTAGAGCATGCCAGCATTATGAAAAGTTAATATTAAGACAATACCTCAAGATCAGCATTAACTAAAATTATGACATCAGGAGTACAGGTTTTTGCTTATAACCAAACATCAGAGATTACACAGTTCAAACCCCATGAGTTTCATCTAAAAGCCATACCGTGTGGAATCCTTCCTTAGTTCCATCTACAGTGTTCTGCACAGCTACAATCTTATCTTGGGTTGTATTCATAGTTCCTATCTTCTTAGGTATACAAGCATTGAGATTGTTGATAGTATGATTTAAGGCCTGATGATGTGCTTCTCTGAATAGGGGTTCATCATTTGAACACTGAAACCGAAGCAACTCCGAGAGGTTGTGAATAGCCATAACCAGAGTTTGAACATCCAATTTTGGATAGGATAACCTTCCATGCCTGTGAGCAAGCTCAGAGTCTTCCTGGGAACTAGGTGAATGTAAAACCTTCTCTGCAGCATCAAGAGCAACATTGCAACCTTGAGACACTTCATTCATGTTCAGCACAGAATCAACACTATCACAAAAATTGGATGTCCTGCAGTTACTTGGATCGCATGAATCATGAGTTTGGGACTCCGGATCTACTTTTCCAGCATCGGTTGACAGATGATCTTTAGCTGGGCAATTTTCAATTAGAAGACCTTTCAAATTTGTCTTACCATCTAAAGCAGATCCATTTTCATTGTGAACAACATTGCTATTGGATAGCATACTGGAAGTAGCACCCGAAAAAACTTCTGAAGGAAAACGATGATTCTCTTGAGGTGGATGCATATGTTCAACATCAAAAGGAGAAGTACGAGATGCCAAAGTTCCTTTCCAGCAAGGTGAATCAACATTAGGGTTATGCTGATCTAAACCATCTTGATAACTTTCATTGTACCGAACAACTTGAATATCATCACTAGGCAAATACATATCATCCAAAACTTTTGTAAAAGTTGCATTTGATTGTGAGCTAGATTCAAATGTTAGTTTCAAGGTATCATCAACATGGGACTGGACTGCCATGCCTTCCTTTGTAGACCATAATGAGGCATTGCAGATTTTATGGTCATCGTCATCTGGGTGCACATTAAGTTGCTTAGAGCTCAAATACATACCTTTTCCTATGGAACTCAGTGGCTGGTGATGTTCTTCACCTTTGAAAGAATAAGGGGGGCTACACAATCCATCAATTTGAACTGCTGCAAATTTGCCACCTTGTCCAGTTTGAAAAGAAGGGGATCTTTTTGTTGATGAAATTTGGACAGCAGCTGGTTCCGGTGGCCTGATGACCACTGTAGTTGAGGATTTTGGTGTCGGTATATCATTGCATGTGTGGGAAGCAAGTGGTTGAATACATTTTTCATAAGCATTGTATGTTTTCTGACACTTTTCTTTCATCTGTCCCATCTTCAAAAATCCTTCATGTGTTTCTCTTTCAGTAAAGTTTCCAAAAAAAGTGCCAGAATCGTCTTGAGTTTCAGCTCTACACTCAAGGGCATGAGCTCCTATATGATTCCAGAAGATTGTTATAGTAAAACTGCTACTCTATATAAGATGTGTCTATACAATTGCTATTCTAGAAAAAACGTTTTCTATATGCAACACAACTTGGTGGGTAGAACCAAATGAAGGATCAAGAGATGCAGAAACATTGACATAAAACCTAGATACCACACATACGGGAAGAATGAGCAATTGGACAGTAGAAAAGCAAGCAACAGATGTGCATGCACACAAGCATAACTGCATAAGTGAAATCCAAGATGATAAATATTCACATAGGGAAAAAAACAAGTCAGTTGAATACGGGAAGGTGATTAATTGAGTCTGCCCAAACTAACATCACTGACACAACCAAAAGCAATTGGATAGTTGATGTCAAGAACCTTAGCGCAACATAAATCATCAGAATTATGCTAACGTTACAACACAACTCCATAAAATGACCAAACCATTACAATGAAACATACTCCGTATTAAAGAATAAAAACAAATACCTTGGTTGATCGGACTTTTGAAATGTTTTGAACCACCAGCAATCGCATTGTCAAAGGACAAATTTGCATTACCTTGCATCTTTTTGCCCATCTTCTTATGGGCAAGCCCGTTCCAAACGCCAGAAGAGGAATGTGAGTAGTGCAAACCAGCCAAGCTTTGCGTGTAATCCACTTGTGAAGATACACTTCCCGGTTGAACCCCAGAGGTAGGCCCCACATCCGGAGTAGCTTCGTTAATGGGCAAGAAGGGGGTATTGTTACTAACCACGGGAGATGCATAAGGAAGATAATAAGGCCTACCTTCAGAAATATATGAAAATTCATCCATCAAACTGTTAGCCCCAAAGGTCTGAGTGGACCAGTAGGAACTACTTGGGTCAGCAGATTGTGAAACAGATTTTTCATCGGCTAAAGGCACAGAAGTAGTCTCCATGGAATTTTCTGATAAGAAGCCAGACCTAGAAGCAGAGATGTGTGGTGTGTACTGCCAAGACTGGCTAGAGGGTAGACTATAAGGCGATTCATTCAAATGCGGATTCAGAGTAGGTTTTGAGTTATTGAAGCGATCAACCGTAAATGGCTGGGCCAAAGGCGATAAATTGGAGGATGAAGACAGAGACGATCCTCCACTACCCAAAGCCCACATCATGTCAGAGGAAATAGAACACAATTTCTTCACTGATCAAACTGCACGCCTGACTTTCAGGTAATAAACAGCGATTAAGGAACATAAATATAGATACGGAGTATACATATTTATGATTCCCAAAATCGTTAACTGGACAAAGGAAATTTCAGATTCCATAGCATTCTAAAGCAATTGACCATGACTGTGATCAACAGATAGAAGGACAATAACAATAGAAAAATTAAGCAAAAAAATTAACGGATTTTAGGGAACACGAAGCGTACCAGTGATACACCTTCCCTGAATCCCTTGATACTCCGAACTCCGAAATAATAATAAATAAATAAAAACTCCGTATACTGCAAATAAAACATACGAGTAAATAAAGAGGGCCAAGAGTTCACAGAAGGAAGCAGATCCATCCCATCTTTTTCTTGGGCTACGTTAGTGTCCTTTTGGGATTACTCCTTAAACCGGTGTTGTTCGGAAAATTTTGTTATCTCGCCGCCCATGACGGCAGACAAAGTCGGTAATGTACAAAGTTCGGTGTATTATACATCTCACACATCACAATTATTGTCGCGTACTTAATTTTGTGACTTATCGGCATAAGTAGTTTTTCTTGTTTCCAAAATAATTTTCTTACCTTCAAAAGTCTTAAAATAGTTATCTAGTCAAAGGATTGTTGTATTTTTTGGAAACACAAGAAGTTTTTTACTTTTTTCAGTTAGTTTTTTTAATTTTTGACCAACAATTAAATAAAATATATATTATATATTAATTAGATATAATGATATTTTAAAAATATTTTATATAATAAATCTAATAAAATCATTTTTATATCTAATATCATTTTTATTTAATTTAATGTCAAAAATTATAAATTTCAAACAAAAAAGTTCAAAGTGGACAAATATTCAAAGACGAAAGGAGTATGTACTATGCAAAAATATGAAACATGTGATGAAAACTAATTTGACAAAATTGCTCATGTTTGTGTTTAATGTTGGAAATTAGAAAATTGTTTTCAAGTTTTCTGCTCGTAATAAACATTTGTATGCCCTAAGTAGTAAGATTGACTTTTTTTTGAAGATTTCACTTATGACAATTTACTCCATATTTATTAGAAGTTTTGTCTTAACTTAAAATAATTGTGGTACTTTGAGTCCTATGTTTGTAGCCTTGTAGGAAGAGAATTTTTGTACTCGAGATGAATACCATAGGTCAGAATCTAGATCGTCGCACACAAAAAGAAAAAATGTATAGTTCATAATCCAACTAATAGCAAACAACTCGACTATTACAGAAAGGATTATAGTACAATGATTTTCCAACAGGAAAGTTGTTATTGAACTTGGATCACTTGGAAATTACTATAAAAACGTACTGTCAAAGAAACAATGTAATTATATCTCCAATGCTTTAGGGTCAATGACTCTACGTCTTGAATATACATTAATAAACGGATGGGTGTTGTTGCGCTTTGATGACTATGGTACCGTCAAATCATTGGCTCTAATCTTAGGCACTTGGGTGTGTGTGCTACGACTCATTGGAACATGTGTATATGAAATAGATTCTATAAATAACCCCTAGGTAGTGAACATGTATTCTAAATAAAAATGAGCACCTAGTGATGTGATAAATAAAATAATTGTAAATTCTAGGATCGCTTCAAGTTAGATGTTAAGGAATATATGCATATGTGGTTTAGCATATGGGTACATGAAGTAAGACATTTATGAAGCATCATAACTAAAGTTTGATTGTATAATTTGATATCCTCATTATCATGTTATGATACAGGTGCTATGTAGAGAAGTTTAGATTGACAATAACTTAGCAGGTAGAGGACAAGGTTCACTTTGATGAAACAATCTTCTTTTAATTAATTAGTAATTAATCTCAGAGTTCAATCTTGTCTCGATAGTGGCACAGATCAAGATTATAATAGATGATAGAGACCCTAGTATTGTGGTGATATATTAACTATTCTCGTAGTTGAGCTAAATTATATCTTAAGATTCCTCTCCTAGCTTAAAGAAAAATACTCGAATAAGGAAGAAAAGTTTTTATTCCTTAAGTTTTTATTTTCAATATAAAAATATTTTTTTATCCTACTCTTTTCATGCTAGATCCTTAGAGTTTTTGGAATTTATTTTTTTCATATCATACTCTAATTTTTCTTTCAATCGATATCGCAGCAAGGTGTTTATGCATGAAATTTGTAGTTGAAAATATTATTTTTTTAGTATGCTAAATTAGATATTATCAAAATTATTTGTTGCATGTCAAATATTCAAGTTTATATGAATTTACATGTTTAAAATCTTGTAGAAAAAAGCTAAGTTCTTCTTTTTTAACAACTAGGGTAGATTATTTTAAAGATTTATTACTTGCATACTTTAATATCTTCAAATGCTTTATGATTTATGTTGTTAGTATTTATTTAACACATATTCCATGCCAAAACTTTAAAAATACTGCAACTTTTTAGTTAATCTAGTCAATAGATTAAAATTTTTATATATTTAAATATATATTTACTCAAATATGTAACTCAATAACATTTATTTAATCAAAATGATTTTTAAAAGAGGAATTTACTTAAATAGCACTAAAACATAATGACTTTCCCTAAATAGCACAACATGTGTTTTTTTCTAATGTAGCACTTTTAGTCATTATTCAAATAAATATTCGTCATCACTAGACATTATGGACATTATTAAGTCCTATTTAGAGAAATGACTTAAGTTCTAGTGCTATTTTGTGCCAATATTTCTTTTTAAAAAGTTGATGTCCAATACCATATTACTGACATTGGGAGTTTAAGGTGCTTTGTTACATCTCAAAGTGGTTCATAGCCGTTCTAACTCAATAAAATTTACTACGTATTTGTTTCTATATTTTCATTAGTAATAAGATATTCGATAAAATCAAATATTCTTGTTATATTTTATTTTTGTATAATTCTTTATGTAATTTTTAAATATATAATTTATTCTTTTTTATTTATATATACCAATTTATAAATAAAATTATTTTAAAAATGATAAAATTTTGAACATTATTAGAAGCGTGACAAAAAATTTGGGAGAAAGTATGACATTGTTGGTCAAAACTTTTGTATTCGACCGCAAATTGAAAATAGATGTTTGGGGAACACACCCGGATTGGAATTGTGAGAGCAACTATCCCACAATTTTTGTAGGGGTTCCAAAAAAAAATTGCAAATCTCACGGTGCAGTTTCGGTCTTTGTGCAGTGCGAAAACCTAATACGGAGTAAAACCTTACCACAATGCCCCAGGAGGACCATAGATCAACAAATAGCACAATCAGCACACCAAAACCTTCACAAATTCATTTCAATAATCAGATATGTATCCTGACTCCCAAGTAACTCAAAATGTTACCAAACAAACAAAAAAAAGGAAATTACAAATAAATCCATGTTGTGTACGCCTGCTTCATATTGCAGTTGCAGCAGCTTCCACGAGTCAAGATGTGGATGGCCGATGAGAAGCCTTTCTAGGGATCCATATTCCAATCTTCTTACTTGTTGGAATGTTTTGAATAAGAACTACAGAGGACTTTGCTTTCTTCAATGCACTGGAAAACAAAGGATGCATTATTATCTGAACAATAATAGGTTATAGAAACAGCTGTAAAAAAAAAGCCTTAGAGAAACAGAAACATGAAACCATAGAGCTTTGCTACTCTTACAAATTTCTGTTCTTCTTTTCCAGGGTCGAGCGGACTGTATCTGATGTATTTCTACAAACATCTTCAAATTTATCCCGTGGTTGAAGTCCCTAAACAAGTCACAAAAAAGATGATCTACATGTAGCTTCAACACACACGAAATAGCAATGGCAGAGATTCGATAAGAACTAAAGAACCAATATTCAAATGGAATGCTTTAGCCCAATGACCTTTAGTATAGAATGGCATGAAGACAAAATGCCCCTCTTGAATTAGAGCATCCTACTTTGTTTGGGTTAGTCATTCCACATAATGGAAAGCCATCAAGGGCATGCTCCTTTTACCTTAATCTTAAGAGTAAATTCCTAAAATGCTCCTTTATAATAAGGTGCTTTCCCAGATTAGTCCTCAATAAATTCAAATTACCTACATGGTACTTTATATTTGAGATTTATTCTCTAAGTTGTCCTTCATAAAAAATGTCACTTGAATGATTCATTGGAGGTTATTTTGGTATTTCTATCATCTAAATTTAAAGTAAATTCGCACAATGGTCATTTCTATACAATTTCATATAAAATTAAGGCAATCATTGACTCTACACAATCCATGAATTAGTAAAAATCTATATTATTTAAGATTTGAATCAAATACAGCTTAATTAGAAAAGACAATTTTTTTAAAAAAATACTTCATTAGAAATGATCATTTTGAAAACTTAGTCTAAGTTTAGACGATGAAAATACCAAAATACTCTCCACTTAATCAACATTTAAGTGATATTTTTTACGAAGGACTATCTAGGGACTAAATCTCAATTACAAAGAACCAGGTAGGTAATTAGAAGTCATTGAGGACTAATTTGGAAAAACATCTTAATATTAGAAAGGATTATTTTGAGAATTTACTATAATTTTAACTAGATTTTGGACTCTCTCTCTACTTTCCAAATAGGAGTAAGGTATGAGCAGTGTGCATCCTCACCCTCCGGCCTTCACAAACTCCTCTCTCGTGGGAGTTTATTGGGTTTCTTGTTGTTTCATGAGTCTGAACTCTTGAGACTAGTGACTGGAGTGTGGAGTTCAAAACCTAGAGTATGGAGTCTCAAAACTAGAGGTTTGATATGCCATAGTGATTTTAAAAAAAATTTGAGACCAATAGGGAAACGGAAGACCGGAGTCTGAATAATTGAAATATAAAGTTGAAAAGGTGTGATTATTTAGGATATAGTATTTAATAATATTAGATTTAGTTTCTCTAACTTGGTGAAATATCGTGTCAGTATTTTCTTGGTGATTTAGTTGTTGAGCTGCAACAAACAACAACCTAGTAGAATCCAACGAAAAGCAAGGTTTTGGACCCTATATGCTCTCCTATAAGGCAGCTTTGCTAAGGGCATTCCCAATGGAGAGAGTCTTAAGACTCTTTCACACTCCGCCACCGGTGCCACCTTAGCATTCTACTATTTTGGGCTCCTTTACAGGCTTTCATAAAAAGTTAAAAACTATGCCAATCCTAAAAATCTCTCAATCTTTGTTACATCCGCATTACACTATCTTTTATTTCATTAAGACTATTAATATTAAATCAATATCTTATATATAATTGTATTATACAATGATTTGTCTACCAAAACTATTTATAAATATAATTAACCATTAATAATTTTTACAAGATAAATTACTAAGTCTTAATTAAAACAAGAGAAAATAATACAGAAAAGACATAAATTAAACAAAAGCACAACAAACATTTTCATTTTTTTAACGTATTTAAGATAAATTTTACTCCCTCCAACCCTAATTCATTTACACACTTTACTATTCAAAAATCGTGAGAACTTTTATTTATTTGTGTATTTTCATTGACTATTTGATGAAATAAAATATTCTTGTCACCTCTTGTTTTGTAAAACTTTTGGCTTACTTTTAAAATATATAAGTTTTATTTCTTATTTATATACCAATATTTAAATAAAATGAATTGAAAAAACTTTGGATTTTACTTCGTTTTGCATAAAGAGTAAATGATTTGGGGACGAAGGGAAAATAATATAAAAGCATAAAATTGCATAATGTTCTACCATGACCTTTTTAAAATAAATTGCATAAAATAAAAGCATTAAATTGCACAAAACTTTTAAATAATACTCCGTTTAAAAATATTAATTCCATAAAATAAAAATAAATGCACAACAAATATAATGTTTTTAGTTTTTTTACGTGTTCTGTTTTTTAATGTTTTTAACATTTTTGGTTTTTTAACTTTTTTGGTTTTTTTTACAAAATAATTGTAAGTAATTTTTATTTTCAAACATAATTGTTATTGATTACACGTGTGTGATTTTTGTTGGATGTATAGAGTTGGGAGTCTTGGAACTGAGTCCGGGATTTCAAAGACAGCTAGATTTTCCCCATTTTCTAGTCCACCCTAATGGTAAAGTCTGGAGAAGAGTCTTAAGACTCTCCCTCAAACTCTCCCAAGACTCCCATTGGGATGTCATAAGGAATGATACAAGCTAAAAATTCTGAAGGAAAGAAAGTCTAGGCATTTCTCGGTCTCAACAAAACCAAACCCTAGGGACTTCAGGAATTGGGCTTTCAGCAAAATTCCACCCACATTCTTCATTGAAGAACATAACACCCTGAACCTAGTATCAAACCATTTCGTACAAACACTTCTAGTCATAGATAAACAGAAGCCAATTAGAGCAATAAAAGAATTTTCAGTTCAAGATCCTATGGAGCAATCAGCAACATTTAGCTTGAGATACAATAAAAATCATTGCAGCTACTAAAAACATACTGGAAAAAGGTACTAAAACCACTGTTGCTGTAGAGATAAAACTGCTGTAACCACTGAAGAAAAACTGCAACTACATTTTGTATGCATTTAGTATTTATCATTGATGCTGTCCTAGGGTGGGGACAGTATGAAAAGCACTGTGGATGCCCGTGATGAATGGTGGGTGAAAAAGATATCAGAATGCTCGAAACCAAAGACTAGGTCATATATTATAAACAATGTATAACAAATATTCCTACTACTTTGGCAACATGGAGGAAAACTTTCCAATAAACCAAAATTAGGGGATAAGAAGCTCTGCATTTACCACCAAACCGATCATACTCTTATGTGTTTACGGCAGCAAATCAAGGATGGAATCCTGATTAACCTAGTAATTACCATTTAGATTTTATTTCCTTTCGAAGTATTATTACTTAAGGTAGTTTGTTTGCATGATTATTTCCAATCTGTAAACTTAATTTCCTTTTCGAAATTTAACGTAGCCTGATTGCTTGATTTATTCATTTCCTTGTGGCTGATGTAACCCTCCAGTGTAAGAAAGGGGATTCCTACCATGTGTACAGCATGCAAGAATGAAAATAAAATTTCAGCTCTTCTTTACATTTGTCGTGTATTTAAGAATTTCACTATGTGTTTTCGAATAAGAACCTCATTCCTCACCCTTTGGCGAGATCCTACACTGAGAAACATAACACTCTTCAAGGAAATGGTGGGTTGGTAGATAATCAAAAATAAATATGGGGCAACATCGTGAGAGGCAATTCCTCTTGGCCTGAAAATGTCTGGCCAAAGGCAGTGATGATAATGTTCAAGACATAAAATGCCGAGGGAACTTTGAAGTTTGAACTCACTACTACATCTGAAAACACCTTGGCAAAGAAGTGTTGATGGGAGAGCAGGATCTTATGATGTCAAGGGTAAGCGAAAGGATGAGCGGAACTGTTGAAGCCTATAGCTCACACAATGATTCCATGTAGAGGCCCCATGTTGGAGTTGGAGTTGGTGTCCCTTGCTTAGAGCTATGCCTTTGGGCTATGAGTTAGTTTTTGGAGGGGAGGATTTCTTTTAACAAACAGAAACATATAATTCCTCAGCCCCAAAATAATCAGAACACTTGTTATTTCACATTTGCCAATGCACAAATTAAAGCACGAACCCCTTTAATTATTTCAGTGAAAATTATAAAAAAAAATTAATATTGTTAAAAGTTTTTATTGAGATGAATCCAACAAGATCGTACATGGCTATATTTTAATTTACGTATAGATCACAAAAGATAGTCAAATTAAAGTGTTGTAGTACTCCGTCTGTCCCAAAAATTTTGCTCAGTTCTTATTCTGACTTCTAAGTTTTGTTTGTGTGTTTTCATTGAGTATTTGATAAAATAAAATATTCTTGTCACATCTTCTTTTATAAAACTTTTGATATAGTTTTGAAAATGTAATTTGTCCTTTTTATTTCCACACCAATTTTAGAAATAAATTTAAAAGAGATGAGATTTTGCATGTTGTTCAAAGTGAGACAAAAATTTGGGACAGAGGGACTATAAAATTATTAATTTTGCAATTATTTTGGAGCGAAGGCCCTATGATTTATGGTAATATATAAAATTTTACTATGCATGATTTCATATTATTTACTTGAAAATATTATCATATTAAAACATATATACCCCCCCCCCCCCCGGAAAAAACAAAGCCAATCGAAACCATTAACAAGATAACATACCCTAAAAGAAGTTATAGAAGTACTTCAACTAAGGAGGAGAATTAACCTATCCATGTGACCAATTTTTATGGCCATTATGGCAACTCAAAGAGACATGACAAAGAAAGCTAATGACAAATTTACAGAACATACCTAAAAACTGCTCTTAAAGTGAGTTAGCTTTGGGTTGTAGTTCTTTACCCTCCAAGTTTCTACAAAAACAAAATAAAATAATAATAGCCCAGCATCTGCATTAATGAGTAATGTTGGATTACATACAATTCCTTACCATTTCTAGTTTCACCAGAACTATTTTCACTTGATGGTTAGGTTCTAATAATGTGCTACATGCATGTATTTTGGACATGATGTTTGGCTTCTGGTTTCATTGGAAATATTGTCACTTTACGTTTAGGTTCATGATATTTGGCTTGTGATGTGTTATCCTTGATTTTTTTTACTACCTCCGATCTAGAATATTGGTCTAGTTTGACTCTTTTTAATCAAACAAGGCAAACTTTGATCAATAATTAAATCAAAATTTGATTTTATATTAATACATAAATGATTTCATTAGATTTTCCTTGAAATATAC